ACTGTGAGATCACGGCCTGAGCCGAAATCAAGAGTCAGACACTTAACCAACTGAGGCACCCAGGCACCCCCTAATGTTTATTTATTTTTGAGAGAGAGAGCACGGGCTGGGGAGGGACAGAGAGGGGGGTGGAACAGAGGATCCAAAGCGGGCTCTGGGGTGACAGCACAGAGCCCGACGTGGGGGCTCGAAGTCACGAACTGCGAGATCATGACCTGAGCCGAAGTCAGATGCTTAACCGACTGAGCCACCCAGGCGCCCCAGAAATTTTCTATTGTCTTATCTGTCTTACTGGATTCTGAGTGCCTTGAGGGTAAGGACCACAACTGTAAACCCCGGAACCTAGCATAATGCCTTGTACTCCGCAAGTCCTCAGTAAGTCCCCCCCCAACCCCGCCTTGGTACTTTTATGGTTTTATTAACATAAACACAATGTGCATATGAGCTGTCTATTCACTTCTCTTCGTCGTGCAGCCTGGCATCAGGACTGGTGACTCTGATGGACAGTTGGGCTGTTCTTTCCACCACGGCTTCGCGGGTCTCCGGGGGGACACATTGTAGACAATCCCTGCACAGTGAGATTTGCTGCGCATCAGCAGCACTTCAAGCTCCCTGGTGTTGTGGACTAGGAACTTCCAGAAGCCACTGGGCAGCACATGCTTGGCTTTCTTGACGCTCCCATAACCAGTGTTGGGCATCGACTTCTGGGTACCCTATTGTCAATGCCTCTGGGTTACCACCAGTCGCACTTGATTTTGACAGATCGGTCTGACTGGTGCCGGATGAACTTTTTGGTCCTCTTTTTAATGATCTCAGGCCTCACCAAAGGTCTGAGGGCAGCCGAGTACTTGGCCTACTTGATGCCAAGTAGGAGATGGCTGCTCACCCCCAGTGAGCGGCGAGGAAGAGAGGGGCTTCGTTAAGCTTTCACTGAATTAAATGAACTGTGAGGGGATAAAGAAATATGTGTTGCTGTCACCAGGAAGTCCTATAAAACTCTTCATAGTCATTACCCTAGTGACCCCACACTGGAATATACTTCCAGGAAGTAAGCTGAAAGAAAAGAATCTTTATTGCCAAGATTTATAAAGAGCCATATTTATCACTGGAGGGGGAAAATGCAGGCAATCAAAATGTCCAGTGAATTAAGGGCCCAAACTGTAAACAATGGTAAACCAATGTGGTAAAATATACAGTCATTAAAAAGAAAGGCGAGTGGTTGCAAAAAAAAAAAAAAGGAGGAAAACGCAGAAAATAACAGTTGTTGGCAAAGATGAGGAGAAACTGGAATTCTTGTGTGTGTTGCTGGTAGAATTACAAAATGATGCAGCACCTATGCAAAAATGTTGGACAGTTCCCCAAAAAGTTAACCATGGAGTTACCATATGACCTAGCAATTCCACTCCTGGGAATATACCCCAAAACCTGTACATGATGCTCCCAGGAGCATTATTTATAACAGCCAAAAAATGGAAATAACCTAAATGTCTTTCAACCGATGAATGGATGAACAAAATGTGTGTGTCCACATGGTGGAATATTATTCACCCACAAAAAGGAATGGCGGCCTGATCCGAGCTGCAACGTGGATGAACCTTTAACCATTATGCTGTGTGAAAGAGGCCAGGCACAAAGGACCATATATTGTATGGTTCCATTTGTATGAAATTTCCAGGGGGCGCCTGGGTGGCGCAGTCGGTTAAGCGTCCGACTTCAGCCAGGTCACGATCTCGCGGTCCGTGAGTTCGAGCCCCGCGTCGGGCTCTGGGCTGATGGCTCGGAGCCTGGAGCCTGTTTCCGATTCTGTGTCTCCCTCTCTCTCTGCTCCTCCCCCGTTCATGCTCTGTCTCTCTCTGTCCCAAAAATAAATAAACGTTGAAAAAAAAAAAAAAAAAAGAAATTTCCAGAACAGGTAAACCCATAGAGACAGAAAGTGGACTAGTGATTGCCAGGCAATGAGGGTGAGGAGGACGGAGAATAACTTCTAACAGGCATGGGGTTTCTTTTGGAGTGATGAAAATGTTCTGGAATTAGATAGTGGTGGCACAACCTTGGGAATATATTAAAAACTATTGAAATGTGCCCTTTAAAATTTTATGTGGAGTGAATTTTTATCTCAATTTAAAAAGGTAAAACAGCATGGTATTTAAAGGAAAAGCACAAAATAACACATACAAACTTCTTCCAACCAAAAATGTATTGATGGCCAGTAGGGAAAGACAAAAGAATACCAGGAATTGGGTGTTTTATTATTTTATTTATTATTATTATCGGGCCTTTTATTATTTTGGTAGCGTTGCTTCAAATGTACTACCTTTAAAGACATATCTGCCAGAACATTATAGCAAAGTGTGCAGAGCTAACACCGTAGAACTGTAAAGTCCTACAATTTAGCATAAAACCATACAGTTCTAACATTCTATAAAGTGGGAAGGGATAAATAAAGGAATAAGGCTTGCAACTAAGGCAATAGGTAAAAAGCCAAGGGAGAATTAAGTAGGATAAAGCACTCTTGATAGGTTATTTTTAAAAATCCCATCTTTATCCAGGCACAGCCTTTAAATTGTATGCAGTGCTAGAAATTTCATTTGAGAAATGAAAGCCTAGGTATATATTAGAAGAAATAATTCTCTCATGAAGAAGGTGCCTGTGGCTGGGGTCCCTGGCAGCTATGGTCACCATCACCCTGGTCCTGCAGAAGAATTATTCCTTTTTTTTTTTTTTTCAAAAAATGTTTTATGTTTATTCATTTTTGAGAAACAGAGAGAGACAGAATGTGAGCAAGGATGGGGAGAGAGAGGGAGACACAGAATCTGAAGCAGGCTCCAGGCTCTGAGCTGTCAGCACAGAGCCCGACGCGGGGCTCGAACTCACAGACCGTGAGTTCATGACCTGAGCCGAAGTCAGAAGCTCAACCGACTGAGCCACCCAGGTGCCCCTTGAGTGTTCTAAGAATACTTAGCTCTTCTAAATTTAGAAAAGTGTTTAAAAACACATGTAATAATGATGACTGTAAAAGTGCCACTCATCTGCTGTAAAGAAAATGTTTTAAGGAGATGGATATGATTGTCATTCTATAATTCATTTAGAAAATTAAAAACACACACACAAATGTAATAGAACTGCCCTACGACCCAGCAATAGCACTACTGGGAATTTATTCAAAGGGTACAGGAGTGCTGATGCATAGGGGCACATGTACCCCAATGTTAATAGCAGCACTTTCAACAATAGCCAAATTATGGAAAGAGCCTAAATGTCCATCAACTGATGAATGGATAAAGAAATTGTGGTTTATATACACAATGGAATACTACGTGGCAATGAGAAAAAATGAAATATGGCCTTTTGTAGCAACGTGGATGGAACTGGAGAGTGTGATGCTAAGTGAAATAAGCCATACAGAGAAAGACAGATACCATATGGTTTCACTCTTAATGTGGATCCTGAGAAACTTAACAGGAACCCATGGGGGAGGGGAAGGAAAAAAAAAAAAAAGAGGTTAGAGTGGGAGAGAGCCAAAGCATAAGAGACTGTTGAGAACTGAGAACAAACTAAGGGTTGATGGGGGGTGGGAGGGAGGAGAGGGTGGGTGATGGGCATTGAGGAGGGCACTTGTTGAGATGAGCACTGGGGGCTGTATATAAGTGACGAATCACAGGAATCTACCCCAAAACCAAGAGCACTCCGTACACCCTGTATGTTAGCTAATTTAACAGTACATTATATTAAAAAAAATAAATTAAAAAATGTAATAAAGATGGTTATAAGAGTGCTGTGCTACTTTGAGAAGACTGCCACTTAAGGGAATTGGTGTGATAAACATTCGGCAATGCTCTTAACAATGTTTTTAAACACGTGCAATGGAGACGTTGTAAGTGTGCTACGTGCCTGCTACTTTGACAAGAGTATCATTCCAGAGTCATTTGACTAACTTGAGAGAGAGGGAGTTTAGAAACACGACCCCATTGAGTTTTATGAACTCCTGAGTTCATCTCCCAGTTGTGCCTGCGTGAATCTGACCCCAAACAGCGTACTGTAGATAGAACTACAGTAAGAGACAGACCGTCACCAGGGCGCAAACTGACCACTAGGGGGCATATACGCAGCAGATCTGAAGAGCACTGTGCCGGCTGGTGAAAAGGGAACTGATGTGAAAAATACAATCCACGGTAGGCTGGGCAGATCTCATGACATGAACCAAACCAGTCAATTGCCCGCTTACACAAAAATAGCAACATTTTCTATAGGATTTAAATTTAAAAAAATTTTTTTGAATGTTTATTTATTTCTGAGACAGAGAGAGACAGAGCGTGAGTGGGGGAGGGGCAGAGAGCAAGGGAGACCCAGAATCCGAAACAGGCTCCAAGCTCTGAGCTGTCAGCACAGAGCCGGACACCGGGCTCAAACCCACAAACCGTGAGATCATGACCTGAGCCGAAGTTGGTCGCTCAACCAACTGAGCCACACAGGCGCCCCTGCAGTCTCATAACATAATATCACATGCCCAGATACAATCCAAAATTACTTGGCATATAAAAAAATAGGAAATCTCAACTCACATGGGGAAAAAAACAAAACAAAACAAAACAAAAACCAACAGTCAACAGGCACCAATGCTGAAATGACGCAGACGTTGGAATGATCAAAAAGAAGACATTAAGGCAAGTATTTTAAAAATGTCGTATGAACATTGTTGAATGAGAAGATGAAAAGTCTCAGCGAAGACATAGAAAATATAAAGAACCAAACGGTAATGCCGTAATCATAATTTTTTTTAATTACTGCATAGACTCTGTATTGGTTTCCTATTGCTTCTGTAACAAATTACTACAAACATAAGGATTTAAAACAAAACAGGGGCGCCTGGGTGGCGCAGTCGGTTAGGCGTCCGACTTCAGCCAGGTCACGATCTCACGGTCCGTGAGTTCGAGCCCCGCGTCGGGCTCTGGGCTGATGGCTCAGAGCCTGGAGCCTGTTTCCGAATCTTTGTCTCCCTCTCTCTCTCTGCCCCTCCCCCGTTCATGCTCTGTCTCTCTCTGTCCCAAAAAAAAAATAAATAAAAAAATGTTGAAAAAAAAAAAAGTACAGTTGACCTTTGAACAACTCAAGGGTTAGGGGTGCTGACCCCTAGCACAGTCCAAAATCCACGTATACCGTTTGACTCCCCAGAAACTTAACCACAAATAGCCTACTGTTGAGGGCAAGCCTTATTGATAATATAAACAGTCAATTAACATATAGTTTGTGTGTTGCATATATTATATACTGCATTCTTATAATAAAGTAACTTAGAGACAGTGAAATCTTGAGAAAATCATAAGAAAGGGAATGGAGGGGGATGGGTGAAAGGGGTGAAAGGGAATGGAAGGTACAGACTTCCAGGTATGGGATGAATAGGTCATGGGAATAAAAGGTAGAGCATAGGGCAACGTGAGGCTCGAACTCACGGACTACAAGCTCGTGACCTGAGCCGAAGTCGGACACTTAATTGACTGAACCACCCAGGAGCCCCGAAAAAAATTGCATATAAGTGGACCCGCGCAGTTCAAACTCATGGTGTTCAAGGGTCAACTGTGCCCCAAAGATCATATAATTCAACTCCTTCATTGTATTGATGTGAAAAGTGAGGTCTCTAGAAAGATGAAGTGATTGTCTTGAATCACAAGGTCCTGTAATCCTGTAGTTTAATAACCACTTTTCCACTATTATAGCTTCCTTGGCTTTTCTGAGCACGTGTCCATACACATTCCTTTAATTATAAATAACAGAAACCTGCCCTAGCTAGCTCAAGCAAGAAGGGAAATCGTTGAAAGAAGTTGGGGTCCCTGATGGGACTCAAGATCAGGAGTGTAAATAAGCATCAAGAATAAACTCAAGGGGCGCCTGGGTGGCTCAGTCGGTTAAGCATCCGACTTCGGCTCAGGTCACGATCTCGCGGTCCGCGAGTTCGAGCCCCGCGTCGGGCTCTGGGCTGATGGCTCAGAGCCTGGAGCCTGCTTCCGATTCTGTGTTTCCCTCTCTCTCTGCCCTTCCCCGTTCATGCTGTGTCTCTCTCTGTCTCAAAAATAAATAAAGGTTAAAAAAAAAATTTAAACGGCTCCATCTCTGTTTTCCTGCTCGGCCCTATTGACTCATGTTCTGTATTTCTATTTGCATCTGAGTAAAAACCAGAGAAGCTACTCGGGTTCCCACTCCAAGGGGGAAAGCAAGAGAGTTCATCATTTTTCGTCCTCAGGCCCCAAACACCTGACAGGATCTAAGAAGAGCCGGATCCCAAATATGTTCCAGAACGTTAGCGTCAAACAAACCTGGCTGAAGGCGGCATCGGCAGTCCCCACCTTCAACGATTTATGGAATACCACCTATTGGGGCACCTGGGTGGCTCAGTTGATTGAGCATCCAACTCTTGGTTTCGCCCAGGTCATGGTCTCATAGTTTCATGAGTTCGAGTTCTGCATCAGGCTCCTTGCTGACAGTATGGAGGCTGCTTGGGATTCTCTGTCTCCCTCTCTCTCTGCCCCTCCCCCCACTCATGCTGTCTCTGTCTCTCTCAAAATAAGTAAATATATTTAAAAGAAAGAAAGGAAGGAAGGAAGGCAGGAAGGAAGGACGGAAGGGAGAAAACCTATTATTCACCGGTCACTTACCTTTGATGGGACCGACCCTGGATTCCTGAAGGAACACGTATACAGGACCCCTTTCCAATAGAAACCGCTAACCCCAAGCTACAATGAGACTAACTCTCCCTTCCTTTCGGAGTCTCCCAGGCACTCATCTGTTATTCTCTGTCACTCGTGCTATTCAGTAAACTCTGTTTTCACTTCTTCCTAGCTTGCATTTGACTTCTACCCTGTAGCCTCTTGCCTGGTCCTGCAGGACCCCCCCCCTCCCCTACCCCCCACGATGGATCCTTGGACCCAGCCTGCCTGCATCAATATCTCAGCTAAGTTCCCTTCCCAATCTAACAATCTATCATTTACTGTTGCCAATAATGTAATGCCATGTCTGGTGGAAAGAGAATAAGAAGTTAGGATTCTCATGGGATAAAGGTCTAAGCTACATTTATTCTTTAGTAACCTATTAGTAGTTTATATAGTAAAGGAGGTTTTAAGATAACCTGCTTGGATACAGATAAAAGAAGCCCAGATCGCAAACCTTTGTTATCGAAGACCCTGCTGACGTGTCCTGGAGGGCTCAAAGCCCAAAGGAATGGAAAAGAAATTTCTTTGGCCCAGGGTGCAACCGAAAAGCTGCCGGCAGGGCAGAGGCCAATAGAGGCCAATAGCCATATGGTTGGCCTTGGACTTGGGGAGTACGTTGGTGGCAGCAATAAGAACCTGTTTGTCTGAACCCCACCCTAAGCCTGAGACCTGAGTCAACCTGCAGGTGCTTCCTGGAAACCGGGGACACCTGGGCAAACATGAAGAACTCTGAACCCGGTTGGTACACAAGAAAGGAGTTGAGACTGTAAGACTTGACATTTTTATTAAGGCTTTTTTTCCATTATGGAGTACCAAATTGAAAAACACAGAAACACAGAAAAACATGCCAAATCCTACCATTTAGTTAGAACCACCGTTAACATCTTGGTGTGTTTCATCTGTGGATTGATTCACTTGAAACAAATATTACTTAAGGCCTCTGGTGCATGGTACTAGGTCCTGGGGAATCCTGAGGTCAAGGCAACGGACGCGTTGTAGAGCCTGTAGCATTTCCTTCCAAGCTTTTCTAGGCATTGTTTTGTGCCGGCACGGATGTGTCGAACTTCTCTAAAATTACGGAAACAGCTCCATTTCTCTCTTCTGTAGTCCCTGCTCCTCGGGAGCCCCTGTCGAGCATTGTCCGGTGCCACTTCATGCTTTGACTGGTGCACTTTGGTGACCGTGGCAGATGCTGCTAGTGTCCTGTATCCCCCAGGAGCGTCTCAGACCACCTGCCGCTACACTGCACGGTTCTCGCCATGCTGATAGCATCCCACGCCCAGCATTGTAGCTTCTCACTCTGGTTCTCAAACCCGATTCTTCACCGTTTTCAAGCTTTCTGAAATGAATTACTTAACAAAGTCTTTGTTTCCCATGCATGTATTTGTTCTATGTGTCCCCTATGCCTTCCATAGCCGTCTAGCAAGGGGAGACTTGAGGAGGTAGTGAAGTAGAAATGTACTGGGGCTGGACTTTTACTCTAGGACCTGTGTGTGTGTGTGTGTGTGTGTGTTCAAATCAACCCTTTTTTTTTTAATTACAAAAATACATGCCTCTGTTTAGAAAAAATATATACCAGACACACCCAGATCCTTACTCCAGATCCTACACTCGCCAACTTTCTGATGTGTTTTTCCAGAAATAGCCATTCTAGAAATATCTTTTCTAGGTATAGAAAGCACAGGTATTTAATATAGATTCCCTTCTTTTACATAAAGGTGAGCATAATATACACTTTAAACTTCACCATATATATTGAGATGCAGTCCAAAATAGAGTTTACTTGACTTTTTTTCCACAACAATTCTTGTTGTTTGGAATTGTCCCTTTTGAATGGATATTTTGGTTGTTTAACTCATTTACTATCACAAATAACTCTGCCTTGAACATCCTTATACACACATTTTTGTACCCACGTATCACTACACTTCTGTCAACACTGAATATGATCAATACATATCTTGTCTTTTGATAATTAGTAGATGACAGTATTTACTTATTTCAATGTGGATTTTTATGTATATCAAACTACTGACATTGCTTTTTCAGTAAACTGATTTTTTTTCTTATTTTTATCCATGTTCTATCTTAATGCTGTAAGATAAAAATTTCTTATGTTAAGGTTGGCCCTTTATTCAGTCATCATACTACAAACATGTTATCTTTTGCCTTTTTATCCTAATGCCCTTTTCATCCCCAAATTAAAGCTTCATTTTCTTTTTGGTTTTCTGGGTTTTGTCTCTTGTTTAGATTTTTTTTTTTTTTTAACGTTTATTTATTTTTGGGACAGAGAGAGACAGAGCATGAACGGGGGAGGGGCAGAGAGAGAGGGAGACACAGAATCGGAAACAGGCTCCAGGCTCCGAGCCATCAGCCCAGAGCCTGACGCGGGGCTCGAACTCACGGACCGCGAGATCGTGACCTGGCTGAAGTCGGACGCCCAACCGACTGCGCCACCCAGGCGCCCCATTGTCTCTTGTTTAGAAAAGCCATCCTCACTTCAAAACCATTTTGTGAAATTACTTGATAATCTCTCCCAGCATTTTCCCAGGTTCTTTGTTAAATTTAAGACTCTGGAAATTATCTTCACTGTATGATACATACAGCCCTAATGTTCGTCTTTTCTGGGCTCTGGGATCAATGACCCAGCTTCCTGGAAGTTTCAGGACAATCCAGATTTCCCAGATCCCTGGAGACATGACTGAACCTAGCTTATTGACACATTGCTGGCTGTGACCTAGGAGCAGCACCCCCCCCCCCCCCCAAGCCATCTCCACTTCACTGAGTTCTTGGTTCAGACCCCAGAACCTGAGCAGACCATTCTCACTGGGGTATGTGGGTTCCAGGTGGCCCCACAGGGACCTCGATGCCCATGTGACTTAGTCACAGGCTGTAGCACTTCCTCTGTAAATTTGGCGACTCCTGTCCCCTCTTCCCTCCCATCCCGGCTGTGCTGGGCCTTGCCAACTCCTCTTGGAGGAAATTTGCATCATGCAGCAGCCTGAGGACTCAGGAGGACTGATCCACTGAGCCATGATCTACTCGGCTGTCCCCCTGCTACTCCTGGCTGTGACTCTCCCTCTGGTGGGGTCACCAGCTCCTCAAGTATCCCAACCTGTGAGTAAAACTGGGGGGAGGACCCAGGTAAGACGCAGCAAGCTGTGGATGAAGGGACAGGTGGAGGGGCAAGGGCCAGGGGGAGAAGTCATGTAAAAAAGAAAGGCCAGTTTGCTGTAAAATCTCTGAGAGGTCAGTCTCATTTTCCAGGCTGTGGGATAGCTTTTATTTCTTTGAGTCACTGTGAACTCCAGTGATGCCAGAAGGCTCTCCCAGTC